TCCGATATGCAAAGAGATACATACACGATATTGTATATGGGGTGATTGGAGCGATCTAGGTAAAGATGATCATTATTTTCTTAATTGCTCTTTTCGTATTGATCAAAAGAAAGTTATAATCGCTAAACAGAGCTTACCGGAAATTCAAGTAAGTATAGCAAACAAAACCCGCCTTTATCAGCCAGAGGCCAGCTTACGCCAATATGCCACCGAACATGGGTTGGATCCCGAGAATTTTTCGGTCATTACTGGAGCTGAGAAAAAAAGGTGGGCCATGGGGTGCTTTCCTGCTGACTTGGAAAGAGATATACGCTGTTATCAAGGTGGAATAAAGAGGAATGAAGATACTAGAAAATACCATAAATTTTTAACAGATCGGGATAGGCTAGTCGGTGAAGAGTTATTACGTTGCAGTATAGTAAAGAGTGGTTTAAGTACTACATGGCTTGATGAGCTTATGAAAGAATGGGAAAAAACTTATAATCAATTCGTACAAATTTTTAACTAGACACAATGCATAAATCATTTTCCGCGATCACATGGGAGTTGCACCAACGATCGGATTTGCGCAATTATTTTTTTCGTGTAATGTATATATGATCGAGAATTTTTCCGGAATATATCTGCATCTTATATAACAATGACTTACACACAGTCTAAAATCAATTTATCGAATTAGCGTATTATGATACTTGAGACTGAAAACACAAAAGTTAAGGCAATGCTGACTAACGCATGATCTAAAATTGATTTATTGGAACAGCGTATTATTATACTTGAGGCCGAAAACACCAAGGTTAATGCAGAGAATGTAAAGTTAAAACAGGCTATGGGAGAGAATGCTAAGCTTAAAGCTGAATCTTTAGAGGAGGTTAAGATGCGTGAAAAGATCGAAAAAACTATGCTAGACTTAGATGGGTGTTTATATTGCAAATCATTATCTATGAAATAGTTAGTATATCATTTTTCCGCGATCACATGAGGTTACTCCCTTGGGGCTCCATGTCACATGCATGCAGATTACGAAATAGCAAAGCCTTTAGTATAACTAAAAAAAATACATTGGAAAATTTATTGATTCGCAGTACAAAGCGACTATAATTTTTATGTGTTAAAGACACTGGGCTCTGCCCATAAATAAACAATATATGCTTTACGAAATAATTTATGAATTTCTTGACCAAGTCGGTCAGCGAAGTCACGTGTCTTGGCGCAGTAAATGACGATTATCTCTATTCAAACTTTTCTTCTATAGCATCG